AAGGCAGCACTTCATCCCAGTTCTTGTGATTGGAAGAAACGTACATGGCAAGCATGTTGGTCAGCGTTCTGTTTGTCCGTTCAACGAGGCCATTCGTCTACGGGTGATACGGTGTGGAATGACGGAACTGTGTCGTGCACATGCGTAGTAATTCTTCAACGGCATCGGCAGTGAACTGGCGGCCACGGTCGCTGATAATAACACGCGGTGGGACATGGCGAAGGACCACGGAGTGAAGCAAGAAGTCCGCCACGGATGCAGCGGTAGAAGAGGGAATAGCTGCGGTTTTGGCATACCGCGTAAGATGATCTACGCAGACGATTATCCATAGCTTCTTATTGTTAGATAACGGAAATGCACCCATAATGTCAATTCCTACTTGTTCATAAGGTGTGCTGGGTGGTGTGAACGGCTGAAGGGGACCTGGTGTAGCGGTGGCCGGGCGCTTGTGACGTTGGCACGTCTCGCAGCTAGGGACACAACGCTTCGTCGTTTCGTACATCTTGGGCCAGTAAAAGCGTTCCTGCGTGCGGTTCAGCGTTCGTACGAAGCCGAAGTGACCGGACGTCGCATCGTCATGCATGGCACGTAGAACATCGGAGCGAAGGCTCTCGGGGACGACTAGAAGAAAACGTGCTCCAGGTCTGGAGTAGTTAATTTTATAGAGCAACTTGTCTCGGACAGTAAAGCGACCGCTGTGTTGGGAGGCACGTGCAGCAGCAAAAAAAGGATCCAAGTTGAGATCGTTGCGTTGTTCTCTCTGGAGATCAGCCGCGTTGGGGAACGTGCTTGTAACAGCAGCAAGGCAGTCGTCAAAATTCACAGCATCGCAGTCAGTAGTCGCAAGAGGAATCCGGGAGAGGCAGTCTGCGTCAGCGTGACGACGGCCACTCTTGTACAACACCAGAAAAAGTCATATTCCTGAAGTCGCAGCGCCCAACGTGCGAGGCGGCCAGAGGGGTCACACAAACCGACCAGCCAGCATAACGAATGGTGATTGGTAATTATCTTAAATGGCCTCCCGTAAAGATAACAACGAAACTTCTGTACGGCGAAAACAGCTGCCAGACATTCCTGTTCCGTAACTGTGTAATTGCGTTCTGATTTGCTCAGGCAACGGCTGGCATATGCCACGACATGCTCTGCGCCATTGTGACGTTGTACAAGCACCGCACCTACACCGATACCACTAGCGTCCGTGTGGACCTCAGTCGGGCAAGATGGATCGAAGTGACGCAACAGTGGTGCTGACGTTAGTACAAACTTAAGTTGTGAGAATGCAGCGTCACACTCTGGTGTCCAGTTGAAGGTTGCATCCTGTCGCAAGACGTTTGTCAGCGGATACATGATCTCTGCAAACCGTGGAATAAAACGACGAAAATATGAGCATAGGCCGACAAATGAGCGAAATTCTCGTTAAAAAAGCTCACTGCTTCTATCTTGCGAGGATCGGGCCTGACGCCATCCTTGTCGATCAAGTGCCCCAGCACGAGAGTTTGACGTTCGCCAAAGCGACATTTTTTAGGATTCAGAACGAGCCCAGTTTTTTCGATGCAGTCGTGAACAAGACTGAGACGGTTGTTATGTTCCTCAAACGTACGGCCAAAGATCACAACATTGTCAAGGTAGCACACGCATATCTCCCATTTTAGACCACGTAATACTGTGTCCATAAATCTTTCAAACGTGGCTGGAGCATTACAAAGCCAAAAGGCATGACAATAAATTCAAATAAGCATCCGGAGTTATGAAAGCAGTCTTTTCTTTGTCGCCGGGTTCCATAGGTATTTGCCAATAACCTGACCGCAAATCAAGCGTTGAAAAATAGGAAGCGGCATGCAAGCAATCTATGACGTCATCAATCCGCGGTAAGGGATATACATTTTTCTTCGTCACAGTGTTTAGACGCCTGTAATCTACGCAGAATCTCCAGGAACTATCCTTTTTCCTGACAAGAATTACCGGGGCTGCCCACGGGCTGGACGACTCTTGCACGACCCCTGTGTTCAGCATGTCCTTTACTTGTTCGGCGATAACTTTGCGCTCAGAGGATGGCACTCGGTAGGGCTTTTGGCAGATGGGGTGTGCAGAGCCAGTGTCTATTCTGTGACGAGCGCAAGATGAGGGTAACTGAAGGGGTGCATCTCTATGTTTGAAGTCGAAAGCAGCAACATGCCGGGAAAGGACCTGCACCAGCGCTTGCCGTTCCGTCGTACTGAGAGTGTCGCTGATTATAGCGAGCATTAGATCTTCATTATGGTGAATATCACAAGCAGAGGAAGAGGTGGGGAGGTCCGTAGCTATTGCTGCTATCGAGTTGCATGAGGCTTCATCAAAGAGAGCTATCTTCATCCCGCGAAGAAGCACAACCGGCGTGGTAGAACAGTTCAGCGCCCACAATGTTGCTACTCCTTTTGTCATGCACACAACAGAACAAGGCACAAGTATGTCCTTCTTAAAACAGTTCTTGCGTAGAGGCCTCACTACGAGGACATCACAAGCATCATCAACCGCTGTGGAAGAGACTCGAACGGGTGTCAGGCACCAAGATGGTGCTATCACTTCATCAATCACACTAAGTGTGTTCCTGTCTTCGCCACGGTAGTGTTCTTCAGAAAGCGACGGTAGAAACAAATTGTTTAGTGATATTTCCCCACTACTACAGCCAACAGAAGCACCGCATCGCTCCAGGAAATCGATACCAAGAATGACATTGTGCGAACAACGAGATAGAACGAGAAATTCCGATACAAATACTTTTCCAGCCAATGAAACACTGACAACACATACACCAAGAGGATTAAGCCACTCGCCTCCTACACCACGAAAGGTGATTGTATCGTCCCATGAAAACATAACTTTGCGACCTAAGTGGTTTCTGAAGGCGAGGCTCATCACAGGCACAGTCGCCCCAGTGTCAACTAATGCCATCGTCAGTATTCCATCAATCAACACATTCACTTTGTTTTTGATCATAACAATAGGCAGAGGTATATCTTGAAAAGACCGTCCGGCGACCTCACCTCCATTGGCCGCGGATGCTAGTTTCCTGGCGGCGGAGAAGAACAACGCAGAGGAGACGGCGAGCGACGAGAACGGTTGGATGGTGGTGTCAAACTCCGCTCGGATGCTGGCGAATCACTGCGTCTGGTCTCGCGCGAAAAACGGTCCCTTGGAAACAAGTCGGTTGTCCGCAGGTCATATGAAGCACCGGGTCTTGGTGGCAAAGACATGGCTGGTGTCCTTCGTGATTGGCGGCGTTGTTGGCGGCAATACCGAGCGATATGCCCAGTGAAACCACAGTTTTAGCACGCGGGAGGGTCACGGTTTATACTATATTCAATGGAACGAATCCTGGGCCGCTGCTGTCGGCGAGGAAGTTCGTTATCACGCGAAGAACGGGTTTCTGCCACTCTCTGGAATTCATTGTATTCGTCGTAAGTTACATCTTGGTAGTAGGGTTGGTACTGTCTTTGCCGCAGCGGGACGTAGTCCGGCTGAGAGCCCTGTGTATAAGAATGTGGCTGTGCTCGTCGTGATCGTGCGTCATAGGCAGGGCCGCTATCGTATAGTTGGGCTGATACTGAGGTGTGGCATCAGAATCCTCAAAGCCCTCCGCCACTCGGTGCGAGGAGAATGAAGCAACGTTTCGCTCGAACTCTGGTGGGTGGTAGGGGGGATGAGTGCTTGGGCGGTTTGCCACTTGCGCGTACAGGTCGAGTTCTTCACGTACTATTTGCCGGATTGTTGATGCAAGATTAAGCGCCTGGTTGCTGTCTATGCTCGTGATGGTCGTCACATTGGGTAGCCTGCCAAACTTCGGCGTGATGCGCCTCGTCTTTGGTTGCTCAAAAGTGCGGCAATGACGAATGACATCGGTGACAGATGTCAAGGTGTCTTTCGCGATGAGGAAACTGTAAACATCCTCGGCGATTCCTTTTAGAATGTGCCCGACTTTGTCTTCCTCAGACATTCCGGGGTCAATGGTCCTACATAGCTTTATGACTTCCTCAATGTAGGTCGTGCAAGTTTCACCTGGCACTTGAGCGCGTTGCATTAGCGTCTGTTCTGCTCTTTTCTTTATCGTTGTTGGGTCGCCGAAACGCTCTTTGATTTCAGAAACAAATCTGTCCCACGTCGTTAGCGTTTCCTCCCGATTCTCGTACCACATTAATGCACTATCCGTCAGAAAGAACGCGACGTACAAAAGCTGAGAAGCGGCATCCCATTTGTTAGCGGCGCTCACTCGTTTGTAATAGATGAGCCAAGCCTCGGCGTCTTCATCTGGTCTGCCGGCAAAGGGACGAACATCTCTCAGTTGTGGAGCCGAACTGGTCGGCGCAGAAGTCGAGAGGGGTCGGTGTTCATTTGCGTTGTGGGACATTTCCAGACCAGATGGATTCGGTGGAAGTCCAGCAATGCGACGGCTCTGTCGAAGAACTTGCGGTTTACCTTCCGTCTTCGGGTGTCGATTACCCAGCACGTCCACCACAACTGTAACACTGAGCTGTGATAAGATGGTTTTATTTACAGGAGGTGAACGATGGTCGTTTGCGGCAGCACACTGCGATTGTGCCAAGACTCTTCGTCTTCCTCTGCTTCTCTTCTCTACCTTTTTCTAGTCTGTTACAATATCATCCCACATTTGCGTTAAGTGCATTTATTGCCTTTTTACTGTGTTGCAATTTCAAGTATCTGACATTAGACAGCCATTTTCTCCAAGGGGCAGCTTTCCTTACAGCCCCCCACACCCTCTGATACACTCGCACACTGCTAAATACACCGTTGCAATGCGTTAATATCAAATCCACGCAGAGAAGTGACCTGGTAAGGATTGTGTGATCCTTCACAATTCCCACAACCTGAACATATGCGCCCTCTAGATATACTAATCCCCCTTTTGGCATGACGTGTTGGCCACAAATAAGAGACTGTGAAGCAATTAATTGAAGAATGGATGGCATAAAGAGGAACTGTGTATCGACAGGGCAGTGTCTTACCTGCGATGCTAACTTCATGTCAATGTGATCTCGCACATCCATTCGCATCGTTTCGTCGCACTCTAAACCCAGTGGCGCTGAATATAGCATCCTCGCATTTACTGCAGCCGATGTAGATGGCACAGACTCTAAAAAAGAAGTAACAAATTCACCAACATCATTCTGATGGATCCCCCATGTAGTTTATCCAGAACGATCCAGCATCTGCAATGTTTTAATTCAAGAGTTTTGTTCAAGTGGCAGGAGGATGGAGCTATAGTTTTATGGTATTTTCTTTTATTTTGTGATAAACTTTCCGACCTGTTAGCTACTGCAATTAAAAGAATGACTTCATTCTATTTAAAAAGCACATGAGAACTTATCGTTATATGGAATTGTGAGAATTTACACAGGACGATATTGCATATATCTGTTAATGAGTGAAGGTTGCAGAGTCATAATTAGGAATAACAGATAAGGGCAGAAAGACTACCTGCTTTTGCTTCAAAATTTGTCCACCTATTCCTCTTGCTAAATTTAATCTGGTGTGCACAGTTATTCTTTTAGTTAAGATTTAAGATGAATGATTAAGTGGAAACATTGGAAGCACATGCCCCTTGCATATTTGTTATACCTGGTTAAGGACCACACTCCTTTAAATAATCGGCCTCCTTTAAATAATCGTATTGGTATTTTGTTAACCTATTCATGAATTTACAAGTCTCATAATCCTTATCTTTTTGACATGCTATGAACCCAATGGTGTACGCCACTTGTTTTTGCTCTTTGTATCAACTAGGGGCTAAGAAAGAACAAGATATGTCAAAGTTTGAGTGAATTGAACCTGCTGCATGATAAATTTGTCTTCATTTATATTTGATGTGCTGCTTCCTGTAAGCCATGCGAAAACTATAATTTTTCTTTTTGAAAATGGACATAACTGTAAATGAATCTGTGCTGCATTCCTAGTCTGAAATTTCATTCTATATATGCCAAAACAGATCACCAGGTCATCAACCACTTTAGGATGAATAGATATTCAATTACAACTCAATTAGGATTAGTCACAATAACACACATAAATTAACATATTATGACATTATTTTTGTTGGAATAGACTACTGAGTGTCCTGCAATATTGTATCGGTTTGACACATTCACAGAGAGTTCTTCACACGTGTCTGAAAAGTTTTCCCTGCCCATATCACAATACCATGACACTGTGACAAAGAATTGCACAGGTGGATCAGTACTAATTAGTAGCATGGTGTAATTCTATACCACATTAACAGCTAAAATGTTTGGTAAATCAAACACTGTGCCTCAATCACAAGGTGTGGAATGTGTCTTAGATGATCGAAACATATACAGGCCGACTGATCAGATGGATGAGCAACTTACCAGAGCAGTCAGAGAAAAGCTGTGGTTGGTAGGGAGCCCATCCATCTTTAAAGGTGCATGAAAATTTCCTGGGGCTGTCAGGTTCAAGTTTATAACCGTCCAGGCAAGAAATCGTGCAAGTGATGCCGAAAGTGTTACTTTGGCAATCGGCATTCCCATTAGCTGGATGGGGTATTTGGCTACATCGGTTTTCTGGAAATACAGGCAGAATAACTTGAGGACTGCATATGCCACGACATGGACTAGTTATGGTAGCAGTACAAACAGTCCTCAGATCAAACCTATTTATATACGTAAACGTAAAAAATCAAACTAAGAATAAGTTGCTTTTCTTTGGCAACAAAGGATAGTGTTTACTCATGGACAAGAAGTGTGTACATGAATAGAATCTAGACCTTGTATAAGCTATCACCCCACATTGGCAGTATAAGGATTAAGTAAAGATTTAACAGTCTACAAGCCAAGCCATCTTAATACCTTTACAAGCTGATCTGACATTTGAAAAACTGTTGTCAAAACTGGGACATGTAGTAACACAGTCGTTCTTGTTGTATTCACGTGGGCATGGCTTGTGCATAACGAAGGGGATTGGCAGAGTTTATGGTGAATTTTACCGATACTTTTAGCACTTGAAATTAGGGTTAATGATTTCCATTTAAAGTAATTTTTATTGTTCTGACATGAATTAGTAGAAATTTCGGGGCTTAGTGTCACAAAAACTAAGCAATCACATTGGTGCATCACTACTAGTTCTTAGATTCCAGAAATAATGCATGTGTAGAAATTCATGATTAGCAAGTTTTAGCACTGCATATGTTCTGTCCATAATGGTATTGCATACATAACAATGCTGCATTTTTCATAGAGCGCATGAGCAAAAGCTCTTCGTGTAAGCTTTTTGTGGAAGGCAGCACTTTAGCGTGCCCAATGGTGTTTCGGATGCAATGTGCAGATTACTAAAATTCGCTATTAACTAATGGTTCGAAAGCAGGAAAACTGGTGAGTCAGGGGAAATACAGATTGCATAAGTCATAAGAAAGTGTTATGCATAATTTCATTCACATGGCTATTTAGAACTTCATAATATCTCTGCTGATTTTTTGGCATCCATGAAATTCCCACATAAATCTGTTAGCAGAATTGTTATGTTTCTCAGCAATTATGTGAAAGATAAGGCCTAAACGCATTCTTGCTGTTTGAGAAACTACAATTTGGTTTCTTTCCACACAGACTGAAGGCTTATCAGAAAGAAAGTGGTCACCTCTCACAGTGATGTTGATGACACAAGAAGCATTGTTTCCGGCAGTGTCAGTTGCTACGTATGTGACCATCGTTTCACCCACAGGGAACGCTACTCCTGGGCTGTGGGATTGCCACAGCTTCACATCTTCCCCCGAGTTGTCTGAAAATGCTGGCTCCTCCCAAGAGACGTGCACGGATGATTGCCCATCGGAAAAGGCTTCAGGTGGGTCGAAACAGTTTTCAACAAAAGGTGGCTCCTTGTCTGCATACAAAGAACAGATGTTATTGAAACACCCATATACTATAAAACCAAGCATTCTTCAGAAATCTTGTTCATGATCAGTACATGCAATGTAACATGATTATTTAAAGGCTTCATTGTATTGTGGGCACAGTTTATGCCCATACCATTATGGTACATTAATTCAAATCTGAAACATAGATGCAAGCTCGGCACAAGTGCTTCTGTCTGGAGTAAACTTCATGAGAAGAGAACTTGTGCATGTCAGAACAACAAAAACACCAACTGCTTCTTTGATGAAAACAATTAAGTTCAAGCCATCACAATACTGACTCGAGAGTAAGGATTTTCTTGCCTTTATACACATTAGAGATTTTATTCCATCGCATATAAGGATGAAAGTCCACACAGCAGGCATCAGCAGGTATTTATATTGCACCACCTTGGTCACCCACTGTAACCAGACAGTGCCTTCAGAGAAAAGTTGCACATTTGAAGAGGATTTGGAGGTGCCCTTGACCTACCCATTCCTGAAGTATGAGCTTTTTTTCAATAAACTGAGGCTGCATGGTGGCTATCTATCGAAGGGTGGGGGGGGGGGGGGGGCACTGAAGGGGGCTAAGCTAAGGGGTTTAAAGAACCAAGTCTAAAGCAAGCCACACCGCAATGGCAGAGAAGCATTTTAGAGCAACACTAAGGTCATTTTTTTCTGCCACTTATGTTTGGCAATTGTTGAGCACCAAACGGGCACATTCGTAGATCTTCAACATTTTCATCGTGGTCATTTAAGTCATTGCGACAGAATCTTTCTTTTATGAAGAAAGATTTATTCGCTCAGTGAATTGTGTTGATGTATGCTAACAAAAAGCCCTTGAAAATGGCACCTCTCATTTTTGACTCACCTGCCACTGTCACGGTGAAGTTGCAGAAAGCCATATTTCCCCACTCGTCCTCGGCACTGTACAACACATCGTGTGCTCCTATGGGGAACAAGTGTGGCGGCATCACAGATGGAGCCACGTTGAGAAAGAGTGAGGCTCCGGCCTTGTCCACAGCCTCAAGCATTTCCCAGTCGACGATTGCTTCTCCGTAACCTGGCTCTGAGTTGACCATTATGTCACCTGGACAGTTTCGGATAACTGGAGGCTCATTGCCTGTCAAGAGATGGAAGGTAGATAAGGTCCTGTTAAATCAAAACTTAGTGCACTTGGTAGCATGCAACAAGTGAGCAGAAGTCGTTCCTAAGCACGCCTGCACTTTCTCGTGTTTGATGCAGAATGAAAGCACCCGTGCAAAGAATGATGCCAGGTGTGCACTGCAATTCTATTCTCCAAGTAAAGTTGTACTTTCTAACATGGGAATAACATGACTACTACAGCTACAGAATGAATAAGCTGATCAAGTCAACCAACACTAAGTCATATCTCTTTTATGTCCGCTTCCTCCTGACTAGCTTCAAAACGAAAATAATAGGGAAGGACTATAGCAAACGAAATGATGTGATTTTAAAATGAAATGAAATGCATGCAATTTTCTTTTAGTCGTTTCACTCAGTAATATTCTTAAGGAAAGTCAGCAAAAAGACAGGTTTTAGCCGTGTGTGAGTGTACTGTTGTAATTACTTTTTCCAAATGAGAGGATCGATTGTGCACTGGTTGTAGGTAATCCAAACGCTTATTTAATCCACCTGCAACACGGAACAAAATATTGTCCCTCATTCACATGCAGATGCCCGTGACCAGAAAATAAGCTGATGTGAGCACTCAGCATACATTGACTTTCACCTGTGACAACATCCGTTGTGACGTCTGGGTGGTCAGGTGAAACATCTTGAATGAACAATAGTGCAACAGAAAATGGGGATGAAAAAAAGAACGACACACTAAAGCGCTGACTAGCAAGGAAAAATTTATTCCGATGTGAAGCAAAATAAATAGCATGTGAAAAAAACAAAGAAAGAACACAAACAACCATCGCGCATGCTCATGGTGATAAGTCACCTAAATTGTCACCTTGTGCATGCACAAAGACATTTGTCGTTTTGTGCAGGCGTGACGGTTTTGTGTTTTTTTTCTCCCCCACATGCTGTTTATTCTGCTTTGTGCCAGAATAAAACATTATTTGTGAATCAGCGCATTAGTTTGTCGTTCCTCTTCACGTTCTCGTTTTTTGTCGTGCTATTATTCGTTCAATGTGGAGGCACACCAACGAGCCTAATTGACTGTTTTGACATGTGAAACAGTTGATGTCGAAAAATAAAACACGAACAGTGGCATCAATGAAAGCCCACAAATGTCCCATATATTTTTATAAATATGCATGTTATTTGTCAGTTTTATAAAATTAGATGCTGTTATAAAGTCTTACATGTGAACTGCTGCTATGGCATGGTACTTCATGACAAACATATTAAAACAAAATTTTTTAGAGATCTATGTGCCCCAGAAATTTCGAAAGAACGAGATTTGTGGTATGTGCCACCACTCCTTTTCAAAGAGACATGCTGTATTCATCATCATTATTGAAACCAGAACAACTTCATGAGACAGCTACTTACTGGCGCAGATTGTCACATCATCCGGCTCACTCCACATTCCCGTGCTGAGGCAGTGCCGAACAACGGGTCCCATAACGCGGTATCCATCGTCACACATGACAGTGCAGTCCTCGCCATATGATGACTTTGTCTCGCTACAGTGGGGTGGGCTCAAGGCTCCGTTGGTTGGTGCCACCAAGGGTGGGCAGGTGACAGCTGCGGTACATTGAGTTTCTTTCAATGCAATTTCTTTCCCCCAGCAGGTTACGGTAAATTCAAATTCACAGTGACAAAATTTAGCAAAATAAAAATAAACAACACAAGCAAAATATAGCAGACAGAAAATGACAAAATTGCAAGATTTGTCAAATAGCCAACATACTTATACTTACGCAATCTATAAGCCATGGCTGAAATTATCGAATTATTGATTAATTCCTTATCAGCAGGTGTTTTTCCAGCTTCCAGCCTATTCTTTGCAAGGTGGAGGAACATTTGTCATGAGTGCAGTGGGCACATCCACTAAGACGATAGCATGAAGAGCGTGTTAGGCTGTTGGCTGACATATGCCAAGCCAAGATGAAAGTCAAGGTGAAAGCCAAGCTGAAGACTATACACATGTCTTAAATAGATGAAAAACAGAATACAGATAATCAATATGGTGTCACTAATCAACCATTACTTTCCAGTGCACGTTGCAAATCGCTTGCAAGACAACACTAAGACAGTTTTTCTTTAGTGTCCCCTTGTTTGCTAAACATGTTGTCGTGATCTACAGTTATTAATAAGGGATAACACCGCATTATAGCGAAACCAAAAACTGAAACTAGGGAGCTTGTATTCTTCCTCTTACATCAAACGGGTTCATACATCAGAAACTATACTGACATTTATAAAACTGCAGTGACGTATCAATGCTGAAAATTTCATGTATACAAATTTGACCCTATTAACTATTGATGAAATATTTTCCGTACAACAAATTCAAATCAAACTAATAGTTTACTTGTATTAAGCCTATTTAATGTCGCTCATTAAAGGTTGTTTTAAAAGTTGCTCTTAGCATGGAGTGCTTTTCATTTTAGGTGGTAAGGAAGTGTTGTCCTGTGTGTGTAACACCCTTAATATGAAAGATATCATTGCTGGGGATGATTTTTTTTTGTGCTTGTGAAACAGCACTTGGCAAATAAATAGTGCGACATGAAAATTGTACAAAAAGAAATTTCAAGGCTATAATTCTGTCAGGCCTCCCCGTCTTACGATCTGGCGCTTAATGAGTGTTAACAGTACACAGTTCAGTTTTGGTTGCACGTGTGTAGTTGAAGCTCAGCATCCTGTACACTAATATTACGTCTTAATGGTAAAGTGTATTATGTCTGAATATAATCTATGGAGCAAGCTAGTTTTCAGCACCCTTAATCTACCTAATGTGGGGTGAACTTAAAATTAAAGGTGTAAAGAAATTTTATTGTGTGATTGAAAGTTCCTGTAAAGCAAGATTTGGGGCCTTACGTCGGCAGAGCACAGGCAGGCCATCCCAGAGGGCGATTGAGAGGCAGGTCCGTTTGCGAGAGCCGATGAGTGCATATCCCCTCTGGCATTCGAACTCGCACGTTGTGTCAAAGTCAAACGAGTCGCTGGAGCAGCTCATGGATCCATGCAGGGGTGACTCTAGGGGAGAACACTTTTTCTCTGCAAGAGAAACATAGCTGATGAAGCCACAGTCTCACAGATTATTTCCCTGTGCAACACGTACAGTATGGTCTACTGTTAAAGCGAACACTCATATGCACACCCTCAATATTCCTGGCCGTCTAAAAGCAAGTAAATTAAAAAAACAATCTTTGTGCAAGTCAATAGTCTGTCAAGAGGAGTCGGAACTTTTTAACCACCAGTAGCCTTATGCATATTTAAGCCGCTATGATTCCGTAAGATAGCGAAATCTAAACATGCTGCTCACGTAGGTGTTCCCTGTAACAGTGGACCCGTCTGTACATGCTGTTCTCCATGTAAAATAAAAGTGTTGAAATGTAGCCTCTTCCCAGCAAAGAAGTATCGTGACTGTCATTGACATCGTTCAGTTTCCGATGTTCCATTGGGTTACTCCAAGTCAAATCATGAATTCAACTCGATCATGCTGTGCCATGTTGTGACAACAGTTTCATTCTTCATTTCATATTCAATTCACATCTCAACTTATGGTGCTTGAACATCGAAGCAAATCAGTACAGACTGTGTTCATTCTAAGCAATAGAAAAACTAAAAGCAGGGGTGCAATCACGGAACTATTTCATTCCTTTTTTCTATGCTTTTCGCCGCCATTAGCCGTGTGCGAAGGTCAAAGAAAGAGCTTGCGAGGTGCGCTCCGACCAGTCATGGATGGCGGCGAAAAGCATAGAAAAAAAAGGAATGGAATCACTCTGTGATTGAACCCCAGAAGCGATGAAACAAAGCGACAGAGAGATTTAAAAAGAAACAGTGGTGTCAGGGATGAGAAAAAAAGCTTTTTGGCAATGAATTCAGTTGCTGAGCACTTTGCCATTTCTTCTCCTTTTGTTGCAATGGTGCTTGCGCGTCACATTTTGATCACACTAAGAAACATGTCATTAAGCAAGACTGATATACTATCTATGTACTAATATATGATCCTCTGTTTTATCGGAGCTCCCTGTAAGCATGCGCCACTTCATGTATGAGCATTTGGTAGCAGGAACTGATCAAACTATATATAGTTATACTATAAGGCATATTAGCACATGGTTAAAGTGCTTCTGTGAACTCAGGAAGAGTGACTCACTCTCACAAACAGGGTCACTGCCTGACCAGTTGCCATCATGCTGACAGACACGTATGCTGTTGCCGATGAGGCGGTATCCAGGGTTGCAGCGAAACCCACAGGCGGCATTGAACACCACCTCGCAGTCCGCGTTCACCATGTACCCATTGTCTGGAGGGCTCAGCGGGTCGCATCGGACCACTGCATGTCGTTAGCACTGCTGTCATTCGTGCACTTTCCAAGTAAATATTGCGGATAATGTGATCACGCTAGCCCGCACCTCCACAACTCTGAAAGGCTGCAGCACAGTTGTGATCCCGTTGCCTTTTATTTGGCAGAGCCACCTGACGAACCTTCAGAATGAACGTGGTACTCACAGTGATGATAATTAAATACATGTGAAGAGGATGAATGTTGTGAATATTATGCTCACAATATTTTCGAAAACATTCATGGCCATCCACTATTTTGTAACTGGTAGGGTTAAAAATAAGACCACCAGGCGGCCATGAATATAGAGTCAAAACTCAATAAAGCCAATATTAGGCTGCCAATTTACATTGTTATAATAAATCTTTCTTAAGTTGAAGTTCGATGCTTTTGTGCAAGGTATAACATTGTTTGTTTTTTTTTCGAATCGCCCAACTAGTGGGTCGTAGAATGCTTACTACCCATTACACAAGGCTCAGCCATATTTCTATTATGTCATCAGCCACCGCATCAACAAAGTTCACATCAATGCCTTGCAAATTTATAGCGGGTGTGTTGCTGCTAAGCAAGTGGGTGCTTCTCAACTTACGCACAAAACTGGCAGTTTTTTTTTTTTTCTGCCATACTGCGCTAGAAGAATCAATCAAAATTCGATACAGAACTTGTGGTGCACCCTTACTGCAAGCAAAAAAAGAAAAAACTGTCATTCACTTTTCGCTAGTTATTTCAAACTGCATGGTTTCATTAGGAGGTTATTTCACTCTTTAGCGTGAAGATGGCCTTGGCCTGACATCAGCAGCACAACTGTGGTTATAGGAGCCGACGTTACATTGTTAGTAGACTGTATGCACGTCTTTTGAGTTACCCAAGCGTGACAAAATAATTTTCTCATCCCCCTACATTAGCATCTTAATTTATCACTCTTTCGCTCCCCATTCATCCTTTCCAGTAACCCTTCCCCAGTGTAGAGCAGCAGGCCAGAGCAAACTGACGCTCAAGGTGACCTCTCTATCTTTTTGTAAATAAATTGTCTCTCTCTCTCTGCTTCTTAACAAAATAGGAATGTTCTTTTTTCCCCTTTCAATTCGCCACTAAGAGAGGGCATAAAACCATTTCGGCGCAGTTTTCTTTTCTTGGGGGTTCAGAGCCCAGGCACTGCTGTCCTAATAGCTTCTTTCGAGATCGCGATCATGGAGATTGGGCAGGAGATTGAGCACTTCGATACCCCGAAATCGTCGTCTTTTTTCTCGGCGCTCGCGCTAGCTTTTAAGATGCTAAAACCTCATTGGCTACGCATGTTCCCTGAAGATTACGATCGCCTGCAAGAAGTGTGAGTTCATCAGGTTTGGTGCCGCCCCTACAGCTACTCACTCCTAGTTGGCACACGGCGACGACGAAAACACTAATCGGGCTGCACATGGCCAATAAACTGCAGTGGTTACGAGCCATACTTGGAACGGGTCAAGCAAGCAAGCAGGCACTCGCGACACTCGTTATGAAACTACGCACCAGCATTCCCATCACCACAAATGAGCTGCATGCCTTGTCTCCTCCTTTTTTTCTTGGCTTTCTCTCCACATCGCCAACGCAGACCTATGTTATCGACGGCCCTGATGGCACTAACGCCGCAGGTGCATTGCACCTTTTCTCTGATGCCGGAAAACACGTGCAGCTCTGCTTCATACTCTCCATGCCAATCTGTCTTTAGGCGAGAGAAGCCTTACCACAGGCTTCATTTTTCGTAACATAAACAAGCGGAAAGTCAACGTGCCCTTGCAGGTGCCGCCCTCAGTGCTGTAGCCCCTCTTGCAGTGGCACTGGGCCACGCTGGTGCTGCCCGGCAAGGAGTTCTGGTGGGCGTGCGGGCACGGAATGCAGATGCTCTCGTCTCCGCTTGCTTCCACGGGTTGGTAGGTGCCCTGGGGACACGCTGTTCGTCGAAACAACATAAACAGCTGGTGAGTCGCACGAGATCAATGAACGATGCAAAATCTTTTTTTGCTATGACTAAAGGAACAACAAACAAACAAACAAAAAACAAGCGAAGCCCATTCATGTTTATGTGTACATATAGGCGTGCCCGGGATTCTCCATCAGGGAGGCAGGAAGAAGCAAACTTGACCCCCTCTCCATTCGGCCGAGTCCAAAAGATAACAAGGTCGGCAACGGAGGCATAAATGTAAATGACTCAATGATGTACAGTCGTGCTTAAAATGAGTTGCAACACGCTGGCCGTGGTTAAAGTGACCCCGAGTTTGAACACTGACACCGACAAATGTTAAATAAGTTCAAAAACTACTGCTAAAAAAGTCAAATTCACTGATTTTTTTTTCTATAGGTGCCGATTTGCAGTGTTGGCGCCATTTTGAGTCCAGACAGCGTGCTTCAATTCATTTCGAGCACGACTGTAGCTCTCGCACAGGCCTGCCATTGGTCACCGACTTTACGGCCTAAAGCTGGAAAATCAGTAAGGAATCCTTTGAATGCAACACATCAGGGTTCATTGGTCGCCATTATCATCAGAAAACATTGCAGTACCATAACCATGCACGTTAAAGTATGTGATGTGTCTGGCTGAGATAAGGCATGTGGCAGACTAGGCACCTTCTTTAAATTAATAGTAGCCCTCTCTGCTCTCTATCTTTCATCTCCCCCATCCTTCTCCCATGCACAGGGTAGCAAACCGGCTGCCTATAAGCTGGTTAACCTCCCTGCCGTTCTTTTCCCCCTATTTTCCTTCCTTCCCCTCCCCCATGTCTATGATTGTTTAGGTATATGCCTGAGCATATTTTGACTGATATTGAAGAAGTACAGTATAGTCGAACCTCATTGTAACATAGAAACACCAGTAACATAAATTAGTTCGTTATATCCGATATTCGTTGTAATGGTGCGGATAAAAATCAGCACTTGCAGTTCGTCAATCTGGCTTGCGCAAAAATTTTAAATACAAGAATACGTTATTCTAGGCTTTGCACCTGCTGTTAGTGGGGTAATACTTACATTTCTCATCAGAGCATATCATAGCTAAATAGACAGGATCTTCAGCAGGTGAAATTACAGCAGAACAAGCTCGAGCCCAACTTCCTCACCTCAAATAAATTTCGAACCCTGGGTGGTTTAGGGGCCCTTTAAGATACATTTCAAACCTAACTTGTAGAGTCAGAGTCAGAATTTTAAAAATAAGATGTGATTGTGCATTGCCTATCAATTCTTATATAGCTTTTTATGCTACCTTTCATGTTTTGAACCTTGTGCCAAATATTTCTTGTTGCATCCGATATTATGGTGACTCTCTCGTTTCCATCTTTGTTAAAAAATAAAGAATGAATGTCAGTGCATGTTATTGACTTCGCTAAGCGGCTGTAAGCTAGGTTTGTGTAATCTGAAACTCGGAGAACTTTAACTGATTTCCGACATTCCGTCATTCGGGAGGCTGAGGAACGGGTCTGAAAGCCTACTCACAAGCTTGACTTGGACTACGACCAAGTAAAATAAGGCAGGTATAGGCGGCGCCCAGCACAATAAAACAAAATGCACGGAGTGAAACAATCTCACTCTCACAGTAAGCTATTTTGAAATTATCTATGAATTACGTTATGATAATGTATTTCCTCGTTGATCTATTGACGAATATTTTTTTTAATTTACATTAGTGCACATCTATATTTTCGTTTTTTACCTGTGTGTCATTTTAAGCAACAAAAGAATGATAAAGGGACTAGTCACGCGCTTTAAGTTGTTAGTATACTGTGTAATACTTCAAGTGCTTCTGCTCTTCTATTCTAACACAGTGTGCGCTAATAAAACTACACCACGAAGGGGGGGGGGTATGATGACTAAGGGGCAAGAAATTACTTCCACGTGTGTTGTCACCTATAGCTTGAGCACTTTCTTTTCTTCTTTCCAGTTGACGTATCGACTCACTTTTGGCGTGTGAAACGAAGGTGTAACTTCAGGTATAACTGTAGAGGTAATAATCAGTGCTCTGGTTGAGTAATAGCCACAATGATAAGGGGAGGGAAATTGTTCTGTGACAATGCATGGTTACGTTGTGCTCTGAGGTACGGAAACTTGCGATATAGGACGCCATCACCTGACTTCGTTGAAAAAACATGTCACTGAATAATGTCAAAACAAAAAGGAAAATGACGTTTCGGGATCCGAACGGAAGGCCTTGTTCACAATGCCAAAACGTCATTCAAGTTTCGTATTTACGTTGGTCAGTGACCCGTTTTTTCTCAACCATGCCTTTACCTGACCAGAAGGTATTCAGTCGAACTCTCGGCTATATCACCTGACGTGCACGTGAAATGGGTAATTTGAGATCGCTTGCTGCGACGAAGCCTCATGCACGAGGACGTGTCGCCTCCATCACACTAGCATAGCGGAACTCTTACGGTGGCACTCCTCCCTGAGTCCCGATCCGTAGTATCCCTTGGGGCAGAGGCAGGCGTACTGTCCCGACGATATACCGCACGTGCAGAGCTCCTCGTGGTCGCAGCAGTGGTGGCCTTCCGGACACAGTCCCGCGCACTCGGTCGCGTTCACCAGCTGGTACGGACCCACGTGCATATCTGTGAGTTTCAGGGGGAGTCAAATAGAACATTTATTAGAAAGAAACCGTTGACTGCGAAACCAATGTAGAGCGTGTACCTAGCGGCTCCGAAAAAGAAAAAAAAAAGCAATCGGTTGATCTGGCACCCCATTGCTTCTTTGAACACGCGCTCGTACCAGTGGTGTAGCCAGAGGGTGGCACACCTTGCCTGTCCCCCCCCCCCCCCCCCGCCCCGAAATTTTTTTTTCGCCTTAGGCCCATAGCACACAGAGCACAAAATGACACTCGACCACACCTACCTGTCCGGCCCCCACCTTAGATAGACGTGGTGCTCCTCCTCTCCCCTGAAAAAATTTCCGGGAGGAGGAGGAACACCACGGGGAGGAGGAGCACGCCCCTGTCGTGTAATCATAACAGTTAACAGTAGTTGAAGCCCCCCCCCCCCCCCACTCACCCCTTTCTTTTTTATAGCGTTAGCTAAATGGACTGTCATGTTACTGCAGTCGATCCCCGGCTCCGAATGTTTTGTGAAAGCCATACACACCTTCGTGAAGCGCTCTTCGAGCGAGTGCCTCGAACTCTTCGAAGCTGTCCAGTATGTAGCAGTGCTCGTCGTACGGGGTCGAGGCCATGTCCTGGAGCTCCCGCACGTTTCCGTTGCGTATTCCGAACGTGTAGATGGTGACGTCACTATCGCGGAGCATCTTGGCGCACGGCCGGGGATCTCCTCCGTTTGAGTAGCCGTCCGTGACCAGGAACACTGCTTTGGCCGCGTCTTCGCGAGCAAACTTGAGAATGTCCTTCAAGGCACACGAAACGATAAAAAAAATAAAAATAAAAGAGCGAGGTTTCTGTTCTGAGATGGAATACCACATAATAGAGCGACCGCGGCTCCTGGACATTTTTACAATGGGGAAAGGTTTGGGTGCCCTGTTCAGTAAGAAGTTTTCGAATAGCGTACGCAAAGCTTTGCGGTAGCGTTACCGCGCCACTGCGCATGCGTCGTACGCTAACCGCTTGCAGGCTCCCGCAAAGTGAGGGAAATAGCGGGCGACCGCAAAGCCCGCAAAACTCCCTCGAATCACCGAGCCCCCCGGCGACTCTGCTGACACCGTGAGACTATCAGTAACATGATGCATAGGTTTTGACCGATGAAGCACACCTGTCGTTAATTTGGACATCGTCACTTCGTTACAAAAAAAGCAATATCAGTTCAACTTTTGAGTTTCGCGCCGAAGACTGCGCGCGTGTATTTCAGCCTGACGTCACGGATTTCAAAGTGTCTCTTTCGGATTTTGGCAACGTTGCCCCAAAGAATGTACCTGAAACCTGATGCGTCTTGAGTCTGGCCCTCTCAGAAGATAATGCCCTTTATTTTTACCGATTTACAATGGCGCGCCATAGGTGTGCACAAAAAGTGGGAGCAAAGGCGAGTAGCAGTGCCCCCCCCCCCCCCCTTCTTATTAGGTCAATGTACGGGGCCGACTTTGAGCCCTCCCCCCCTCCCCTAGGTGAATAAAACCTTCAACCTTGGGTGAGCAAACTCAACGATTGCCCCCCCCCCCCCCCTGAAAATAATTCCTCATTACGGGCCTGGCCCGAGCTGATCATCATCAATTAAGGCGCTTGAAGAACAACATGCAGGACGAAGATGTCTTCTTGACGTGAGCGAACGTTCGGTATGCTGCACTTGGTTATGCTCGCTTGCTTTAATATGATCTTCAAGGCTCTTGAGGAACAAGAGGAAGAAAAGTTCTCTGTGGCGTGAGCGCGCCACAGCTGGCTTTGCTACATGTGGTTTCTGACTGCGTTGAACAAAACGACGACAAGAGCATACGATCACAACATACCACAGCCTGCAGTCCGGTAAAGGGCTCCAAACGGTAAAAATCATGTGCAAGTGACTGCATGCTAAATGAAGCAATGTATAAAACTCACCATAGCCTCCTTCATGGCTCCCAGGGTGAAGGTCCCGCCGCCGGAGTACTTCACGCCTGCCAGCTGCCTGTTGTGCAGGGCGCACTTGTGGTTGTCGAACGACGGCAGCGTGATGTGGTCCACCTCGCGGACCACCTTTTTCTTCGAGCTGAAGGTCACCAAGGACACGCGGGTCCTGTCTCGGGACACCGTGAAGTCGGCTAGCAGCTTCCTCACGAAGCGCAGCTCGTTGACGAAGTTCTCGGCGCCCACGGACGCCGAACTGTCGACCAGAAACACGAGCTCCGCCCTCGGGGCACTTCGAAGCTTAGCCACGTGTCGCTTGAGTATGCCGCCCAGTGCATGGAGGCGTTCACTCTCCGGAGTCGGTCCCGGATACCGAGTGCGAAGCGAACGTCCTTCCGCAAGAAGACCCCGGAGCACAAGTGTCGGACCCGAAGTCGCGGACAATATAGCGAACGACAGCCAGATACCTGTGAGCGCTGTCATTGTAGCTTCGGATCTGACGCACTTCAACTGACAACTGACACAGTTCAGATATTCTCAAGAGATTGTACCATATGACTAAATATATGCTCGCTGTCAGGTCAGTCACTCACTGCAGGTCCATCCCATACGCGCTGTACATCGCCCCACTCAATGCGACGAAACATGCAAGTCGTGAGGGAACTTCTCATGCCTGTAAGTCCTTGGGATAGACGCCGTAATGTTGTAGCAACTGCAAAGCTTGTTTCTTGCGGCAACCCTTAATCGTAAACTGCGGAACTAATGCCTCAAACGAGTTGCAGCTACCTGGTAGCGCTCGATGTCCTCTCTGCAGCTCTTGAACTCCCACGAGATGCTGGCTTTTCGAACAGTTCATCGGTCGACTGCACGCAGTAAATGCAAGAGGAGTGAAACCGATGTGGCGAATATGCCCAAGTGCGATGCCTTATCAACCCCGACGCGCACCTACAGTCGAATGCAGGTGTTCAGCAGCTAAGGCGGAGGTGCCATTCTTCGTGACTTATCCAGGCCGTGGGGCGCGTCCAAGTCGGCTAGCCGCACTCACGAAAATTTCAGCGCAAGTTAATTCTCAATCACAAGCGCATCGAGGAAGCACAACGTCCATGTCGTCACATACCGTACGCGCCGTCGCCTCTCCACGCCGCACTCCGCAAGTCATCCGCAACCGTCCCTCTTCTGCCTGCCGGGAAGCGAATCCGCAACGGCCGTATCGGGCACCCCGGCATGCAGCACTACCACGGGGACGGTTCGTGCAGCCGTGCACCGGCGATGCGTGCGCGGTGCGAGTCGTCGCCGCCGTCGTATCGGAACCCGATCGGCCACCGACAGGTCGGGCTGCCCGCTTTCCAGACGCGCCGCGGCGGAGTTGTGGAACGGTCCCAGGGTTCGAAGTCTTCCGGTGGTCGTCGCCGGGGAGCAGACGGCGGCTCCTTGGTTTCCTTGTTTATATAAATGAGGCGCCTGGTCAGCCCGGCGCCGCCGTTCTCGCCGGCGTCGCCGCCGAGTCATCCTTGGCGTCGCGTCCCGTCGACGGAGGAGGGCTGGGAGAGGAAGAAGCGGCGGCGCCCGCCGATACGCGACGCGAAACGAAAGACCCCGGCGGCGACGCTTTTGTGCGTTGTTGTTCTTCGGTGCGTGTGTGTGTTTACGTTGCCGCAGTCGCATTGCTTTCTCGCGCGGCACCCGGGGTTTTTCTTTTTCCTTTACAACCACCGAGACGCCTGCTGCTCGTGCGGGGAGTTGATCCATTGGCTGGCCGACAAGTGGATGGCGGTGGGCCGAGCTGAGTGGCGGCGAGACGGGTGGGGAGCGGGATGGGAGTCGGTTTGTTTTTTGGGCACTAAAAGCGGTCGTCGGAAGTGGGCCACTGGGCGACGGCCGGGACTTTCGCGTGCTGGTGGGGCACGGCCGAGGAGCCTGATGTATTTCTCCAGCCAATTCCCGACGGCCGTTCGGCTTTTCAACCAGAGGCCTCCTGGCAGTTATAAACTATGTGGGCTGCTGCGAAAATAAACACGACGGCAAAATGGATGGGGGCATGCGAAGCTCATAAATTCACAACTTTATTCGATAGCTATTAGTTCGTCGATGATTACGTATAGTTTCGTTCACTCCGTGAAACCGAGGTACAGTGTGGTGTGAAAAACTTGGTTTTTCTTTGGGAAACATTATCGTCAAACTAAGGTGGTATAAAAAAATGTAATGCTTCTTCATGGACGTCTACAGAATCTACTAACTAAAATACACCGTCAGTATACTGTGCAATATATCATTTGGTCCTTTATTGAATGAAGAGCTTTTTAGTATCACGAATTCCAAGGACTCGCCTCCTCGCATGCATAACCGAACAGTCGTGTCGAACTTGAACTTCGCGAATCGATGTGCTTTTGTTAGCAGGGTGGTTTCCTTTATTTTCGCTACAATGCTTTTCTTCGCTCTTTTCACGTTCGTCTGCAGCATGACGATGTACACATTCTTTCTTGTTTCTTTCACCTTCATTTATCTCTCTATATATTACCCTTTCTCTCTCCCCCTTCCCTCCTCATCCCCGCCTTCAATTAGTTCCCATCCCTTGCTATGCTATCCCGTAGATGGCTTTGCCATGGTGAAGTGATGAAGCACGCAAAGGCTGCAGCTTTTGCGTATCTGGTGGAACAAAAGTTCCCGATTCACGTGTGCTGGTCATAATAAGAATGATTACTTCAATCCGCAAAGCGTTGACCCAGTTTGTCGCATATATACAAATACAATTCACGTCGACGTGGATCGCACGACAAATATAAAAATAAATCAAGCACAAAGTGTGTCCCAGAGTCCGTATTTTTCCGGGCTCGGCGCAAAGAACTGCCGGCGCAACATAACCGTTTTAAGTTGTCTATACGCATAACGATATCGTCTTTCTACTATACGCAGTCCATGCAGACAACTAAGACCGCGGTGTTTCACAGAACACAGAGAAGCAATAGTATAATGAAAGGTTGCGACGTCGCTGTCGCTAAATAGCCACTCTTCCGCTCATCTCTTAGAAAGTGCACAAACGAAATGGGCACAAACTTATGCACAAACGACACGGGTGGGATGCGTTGGCAAATAGTCTTTCAAGGGGTCAACAGGGTCAGCCGATGGCCGGGCATTCAGTCCCATACAGTGAAAGCTCCGCACAGTCTTTGAAGTGTCCGTAAGGACGTGAGCCTCTCATGAGCCACTCTGCTATCTCTGCTGGAGTTGACCGTATAGAAGCATAATGTGGGTCCTCCAGGCGCCACCAAGAAAAACATCACTAAACAATATTGCTGGTGCTTGCAGTACTTCTTTTACACAAAACGAGAAGCACCAGACACTGACAAAGAGATATCGATCTAATCAAGTCGCTAAGGTATCACTAATTAACGAAGCATAGTACTGACCCTCCTGGCGCTCCCAAAAGAAAACATTGCTGATTGAGGTTCCACGGGTTAAGAGCTCGTGTTTGCGATACTTCCTTGGAAGTTGGCACTAAGTTTTGACTTTGCTGGCACAAACGTTGAGATAGCGATCCGTTCAAAAGCTTCCACCAATGAACGACGGAAGTCCTGGTAGGCGGAGCGCGGGGACTCCCAACCAGCGCGTCAGTTGGCCGACGGCTCGGTCTGCAGTTCCTGGGCTGCGCGTATGTCGAAGGCTCGCTCGTAGAACTTCTCGTATATTCGCCGTATGATCTGTATCTCGTCGATGAGCGCCTGCGTCACCATCTGCACGAAGGCGAGCACGATGACGAAGACGAGGCAGAGTCCCGTGATGATGGTGACGTTCTCGCGCACGTACCGGTGCGCCGAGTCGAGGCAGTTGCCCGTGTACACCTGGAACCAGGCGTCGTAGTCGGTCATGTTGAGCACGTTGCGGCCGCACGAGAGACTCACCACCTGCGTTGATATTAAGGTGTGACCAGACAACATTAAGGTGGGTCGGCTTAAAGGTGTGACGCTACAAAGTTCAATAATGGGTAAGTTTAGACCTGGGGTAGTCTCAAACACGTGGCCCGGTGCGCGCGCGATACTGTCTTCGGCCCAAATTAATATGCGACAGCGTTAAAGAGCTCGTTGTTTGCGAGCGGAAAATCGACAAAGATGTAAATGAATAAATGAAAAAAAAAAGCTAAGTTCTTGTGGGATTTGAATTCCCCAAGGCCAAACTTCTGCAGGACAAACAGATTCATGTTCGACTACAGAGCCACGTTCTCGAAATTACACTGAAAAAAAAAAACTCACTATATATGAATGTTAGGTAGTGCGAGGAACGCACTACCTAACAGTGTGGGTAGTGCGTTCCTCGCACTACCTAACAGTGGAAAACAGTGTGGATTCACACCAATGTAGAATGTGGAAAACAGTGTGGATTCACACGAGGCGTCGAAACATGGAGGTTGCTGAACGCGTGGTTGGATTAAAGACGCAGCACTCTCAAAGCACACTGGCACTGATGATTATAATCAACAACAGCGTCAACAACGCGCGTAGCTGCGCAGGTCCACGTGTTGCCTTACGAATGCGTAGCGGGTACCTCGTCAGCTCGTTAAAGGGAGAATGATGTAAAAATTATGTGGAGCTTACGCGGACTCGCTCGTGAAATATATCTTGCGCTTGGGACTAACACGCACTCGGATTTACCAGACTTTTCCCTCAAACTCGGACTCAGGCTCGACAAATTTTTCCTCGACCGAACTCGAATTCGGACTCACTCAATTATTTTTTTTTCTCAACCGGACTCACTCGGACCCAAACTCAACAAAATATTACTCTCTCTGAACCATGGCTCGGTCCGAGTCCGAGTGAGTATATTGAGTTTTCCGACCTATGGGCGGAACCGGCGTCCAGATTCAAGTCAATCTGGAAATCCCTATCGATATCTGTTGTTGAAATCCCAAATCGCCTTCAGAAATAGCTCCTAATCTGGCAGACCGCCTTGACTACCCGAGCATGTTCCCTATTCCCCTTTACGGGATATTTGAAAAATAACCGAGCAACAGCCCCCCCCCCCCCCCCCCTCTTGCCATTCTAACCTGTACTCCACGCGCTAAAGAAATCTACAGCAGCGGTTCCCATGTAATCCAAGTGAGAGTTCATATATGCGCACGATTTCGCACAGTACATTTACAGTGAGGTGCCTCGGGGCTCCATCCCGAGTTGTCAAAAATCGTCGGAACAGTAAGAACTTCTTTCTCTCTTTCCCATAACACAAGAAATCTCACACCAGTATTACCCACGGCTCAGTAAGAACAGTAAATACATTCGTATTCAATGAGACATTTCATTAGAAGACTTCCTAGTGGCTTTTTTGCCGCCATTTTGAATTTCGTTCCGCGACCAAGCAAGATCCTGCCCCCTTTATCCTAATCTTGCCTGATTATCTTTAAAAGGCGGGGGAGGGGGTTGTTGCCTGCAGTTTCACGAAAGGAGATGATAAGAGCACGTATGATGTTATCGCGCGTACCACACGTAATGTTTTACCGCGCGTCTTATCGCAAATACGTTTAGTAATGTCCCGCTGATAATCCAGGGTTCAATGTCGACAAAGCAGAAAATATCAGAAAACCTGCTCAAGTTGCGTATATTGCCGACGCGCCGCGTACCGATGATTCCGGACGCACAACTCTTGAGTGCCATCGCGGAGCGATGCGATGACTGTGCGTGCGTGCGATCTCTTGTCGCATAAAGTTTATTCTCTCTCTCTTGTCGCCGCCGTCAGTCATGTTTTGATTGATATGTGGGGTTTAACGTCCCAAAACCACCATATGATTATGAGAGACGCTGTAGTGGAGGGCTCCGGAAATTTCGACCACCTGGGGTTCTTTGACGTGCACCCAAATCTGAGCACACGGGCCTACAACATTTCCG